GGGGGAATGTAACTCATTGAATATGATACCAAAATTAACAAAACTATAGTCTAAAATCATGTACAAACTCTAAAATACATTCGGAAAAAAACTGCATGTCAATCCGACTTTAAACGAATGAGATATGCATGTTTTAATATTTTCACATAATACAAGTATAAAAACAAATACCGGTTCCGGCCCTAAACGTTTCACAAAAACCGCATGTCAATCAGAGTTGAAACAAATGGGATATGTATTTTTTAAACGTTTTACAAAAACCGGTTCCGGCCCTAAAAATGGTTCCGGTTCCTGACACCGGTTCCGATTTTTTAGATCCAGTTTACCCGGACCCGATGGACCCAAACCCAGATTACCCGTAACCCGGATAAAGCCAATTTTTAAATCCGAAACCAGAACCAGTTCTATATATTCCGGTTCTAACGGTTCCGGTTCCGGTCTGATTCCTGTTCCGGTCCAGTTTTTTCGTTCTAAATCTCATCCCTAATCCCGTACGCTTGATCGCTTAAACGGCAGATTTGTAATATGCGATAAGCTTTTATATTCACATATGAATATATAGTTTCCTCCGTTGTGCCAGTACGCGGGAGACTTGCGGCAATAATATATATATATATATATATATATATTATATATATAATATATATATTATATATTATATATATATATATATATATATATATATAGGTAGAGGTTCATTTGAGACCACCTATATTTTGTGAGATAAAGGGACCAAATCTTAGTCATTGATCAAATTTGATCTTGTGGTTCAAAAAAACCCTGATTAAAGCGCTTAATTAAACACTCAAGGGTAGATTAGTCAGCTTTTAATCATATAATGAAATCCCCTGATTTACATGATCTTTTTCTTAATCAACGTAACAAAATCAGATTCGCTCTTTCATCCGTTGATTTCCTCATATGGTTTTCTCAATCGCAACAATATTTTGATTGAATGAGAAGCAAAAAAACTTGAGTTTTGTACGTTAATTGTCACTCACGCTGCGATGATTTGTGAGGTTACAGGCTTATTGGAAGAGATTTCAACAATTGATCAGTAGTTCACATCGATTTCAAGCTTTCACGAGCAACTGATCATCAATTGATATCTTCGATTGAAATCGTTTTCAGCAATTGGAGGTTTCTTCGGAATCAGATCTTATCCCCTTCATTTGATGATTTTTAACTTCAGAGCTAGATTGAAATAGATTTTTCACTGAAATACGCTTTCATCAAGTTTAAATAAACCGATGTTAGCAATTGATCATAAGATTCATACCGCTTTCAGTATTTTCAAGCTTCGATTTTGCTTCCTGGTAAGCTCTTTCAACTATTCATCATCATCGTCATCAAATCGAGATCGATTTTCAGCCCCTTTAAGCTTTGATTTTTACTCCTAGATCTTAAATTTTCAATCTAATAATGTATGTACAAAACAGTTACTCTTCTCTAGCAAATTCTCTTAAACTATACATGCATTCTATGTGTTTGATAAAATCCTGAATAAACAAAGAGTTTGATGCATCATTCCTCTTTCCCACGACTAATGTCTTCTTTAAGAATTGGAGTATACTTCTTAAAATATGAGTCATAATTGGTATAAAACAATGTAATGTTAACTACTTTTATTATATTTACCATAGTTACGTTAAAACATGTTTTTTATTGTCAAACATAAAAATACTGGAGATGTCTTTTTAGCATAGTTTTGTTTGAATATGCTCTTCTTATGTTGCAGAAAAGGATTGTGCTAAAGAAGACTATATGCTCTTAAATTTACAATATGTAAATTCAGGTGCATGATATACATCAGATGTTTTTAGAATATGATCCTTATTATAGTTTTTTTTTCCATCAAACACAAAAGGTTGGATGTCTCTTTTAGCAATGTTTATTATTCTTATTAATGTGCAGTAAGGGGATGTACTAAGAAAGATTATTAAATTTAGAGTATTTTTTGTCAGTGTTTATATTGTGTCTTGTATGATCAATTACATTACATAATACATTATTATGATGTATAATCACTCATAGACTTCATTTTCAGATCTTTGATTGTATCCATACTTGATTCTAACAATTATTTCATTTATGGTTGCAGATAGTTGTAACTGATGAAGCTCAAATTGAAAGGAACTTGAATATTTCAAGCTATAAATTTTCAACTACAAGAGTCAAGATTAATAAATATGTAATAGATTTTATATGTCACAAACATGTAATATTTTTTTATGGTTTTTGGTGTATTGTTACCGATCAAACTATAACATTATTTTGTAAAAATATTCTATATGTACATACAACATATTTTATTCTTTTAGAATATTCTAATTTTATACATGTTTGCAGTTAGCCTATAATTTTTTTATAGCAAATAACACATAACATTATTCTATGAGAATAACATACATCTCATTTTTATAATGACAAACATATAATATTATTTTACTATAATATTGTACATACAAACTTTAATTTTAAGATTATCTAGTATGTGAAAGATATTACTAACATTATACGACATTAACTACAAATTTCATGTATTATTATTTATAGCATAACCGTTCTTGAACCATGATATCATCTTATTAAACATTCACCAATCTTTAAACCTTCAGACCATAACTACTGTTTAGCAAAGATTCAACTGTTCATGTTGTTTAAAATATAGAAAACATAGCTGCAATTAAAAAAAAAGGATAATCTATATTTATTAACTATTAAACACTTCTAAATATTTTATCAATTCAACAGTCGTCATTCCATTTCTTCCCTTTTTGCTCCAAGGTAAGATGTTTTGCTTGATCACATTTTCCAAACTCCAAAAGAATTATTATACATGAACAATATTCCAGAAGAATTATTATATATAAACATACAACCTATAAAATTATTCTATCAAAATATTCTACATATACATAATAATTAAGTCTTATTAACATTACATATATCTATAAATTATAATATCATTTTTTTTGTAAAAAGATCATTACATATAAATCTAGAAAACCCAACAAAATTTAACATTATTCTAATAGAATGTTCGAAATGTCAATTTTTTTGAGACAGTAAGACCATGAGACCACTTTTCTCTAGTAAAATATTCTAATATTTCAGTGTTCATAAAAATATAATATATGTAATATTCTAATATTCTAATATTCTAAAACATAGACCATTATTCACATAAAATTATTATACATGAAAATACAACCTATAAAATTATTCTATTAGAATATTCCTTATATACACAGTAAGTAAGTTTTATTAACATTACATATATCTATAAATTCTAAAATATTATTGTATGTAAAATCAACATTTAACATTATTCTAATAGAATATTATAAATGTACAGAAAGCCTATAACATTACTCTATTAGAACATTGTACATGAACTATAACAAAAAATGAACATTTGATCATAAAAAGTATGATATTTCAGATTGGTCAAAGCATAACTATTTTTTAACCAGGACTATTATTTTGTGAAACATTCACTGGCCATTGAAACAACCATAGCTATTGTTCAAAACTAAAAAAAAAAAAAAAAAAAAAAAAAAAAAAAAAAGATAACCAATATTTAAACGAACACAACATTACCATGTTATTCATAATCAACGACTTTCAAATATTCTAAAAAAATTATTCACGTCCTTCCAGTATGTTTCTTGCATCGATCCATTCCTTCATCATTTTTAATGACCATCCTTATCAACCCTTCCATATTCCTTTGCTTTGTCAGTTACTTTCTTATGGAATTGGAGTCTGATTAGTCAAAGCATAACTATTTTGTATGCTTCTTATTCTGCAGAAAACCTTCTTTACCCAAGTCATTATTTCACATTTCTACTTATTGTTCCAAAATAAATTTTCATCTGTTGCATTAAGAACACATCAGAATCGCATAAAGAACACATCAAAATAAATTTCATTAGCTTTCAATGTGTATCAAACACTAATTCTAGCTACAGTAAATAATTTCAAAAGTATGTAACTGAAACTTCAATAAAGAAGTTCATTTCTAGCCCAAGCTATAGTGAATCTGCATTAAACACTAACCATAGCTACAATATAAATTTCAGAAAAGTAAATCCTTAATTAGAATAAATTGTTTAACAACTTCCTAAAGCCTATTACAAGAGATGATTTAGAATCTACATTATGTAGAATCTAAATCTGAATATAATATTATCAAACTAAAACATAAATAGACGAATTCAATTATGTCAGGATAGAATAACAAATTCTCAAAATGTATTTTAGTTTTGACTTATCAGAGTAAGCATTAACATCTGGTTAATCAATAAAATAACATCTTAAATCAAATTTATGAAGTAACACCTAACTTTACAAATCATAATACCTAGAATATTAAGTTACACTACAAGAAACAAGGGTATCAGAGACTGACATAATCAGTCTCCGATGATCAATAATCAGTCTTTGATGAGAATTAGGGACTGATTTAGCTAGTCCCTAGCTAGTCCCTGAGACCTAGTCCTAGATAGTGGATTTTTTATGTATCCGGGACTGAAAATTAGTCCCTAATATATCAAAGTATCAAAGACAGAAGATCAGTCTTTGAAACCATCTTATTCAGTCTCCAATGTGTTTTCTTTGAATCCCAACTTTTATCTCATATTAGTCCCTAAGACTATCTTTTAGGGACAAAATATCAGTCTTTCATGCTATATCATTCGGTCTCCAATACTTTCACTCAAATATTTATTTTATTTCGTGTCATTCCCTGATACTCTCTTTCAAAGACAAAATATTAGTTTTTAATATTATCATGTTCAGTCTCCAATGTCTTTTCTTCGAGGCCAACTTGAATCATATTAGTCTTTAATAACGGAAAATGATATATGATTTATGTGTCTTAATGTTAAGTCTTTTAAAATAAATATAATTATATATTTTTCATAAATTTACTAATTTTTAAGTTAAACGACAATTGATGTCTCATAATACAAAATAACATCATACACACACAAAACCAAGACAATCCATTTCACAATACGTAGTATGTTAGATATAAAAAATTATTCCAATGCTAAACAAATATAATACATTAACTTTTTCATCATATCATATTAATTCCCTAACAAAACACCATATCCAATTAAGACATCTTCTGATGTTCAGACCCATTTACCTAACACAAATGAACTAATTGAAACATGATCAATCCTCTCCCGGTAATGTGCTCAACTAGATGTGTGGTTCACCTGGTGTTGTGGTTCTCGTTTCTGTAACTACCACCTAACGATTGCCAATTGTGAGAAATCATCAATTGTGAAAGAATGTGCCTGAAATAGATTATGTCATTGTACTTTATAAGCCAAATTCTAAAAAATCTATCTAGTTGGATGGAATAAAATGACAAAATGAATGGAATGGACAAGGTAATGGAACGAGAGATTGCATTCCATGATATGTTGGCATGTAAAAATGGAAAAGATTTTTGTATGACTTTTTTTATATTATTAGTAAAATACAGTACATAATTCAAGCCCTACTCTATAGATTAAGAGAAAACATGCCTAAGGGATGAAACTAATCATCTATCCTATTCCATTGGGGAAAACACACAGATTTTTGTTAATTCCAATGGAATCAACCATGCCATTCCTTCCCTGATTCCATCATGCCAAAAACTACCTATAAAAGTACAAAAAACCATGTCATTCCTTTGCTTATATACCTGAATGTCCCTTCAAGTTGTGATACAGTGAGGTGCATCCATTGATCTGGTAGCAATTCTTCCAGCCCAAAATCAGAAATCTACAATTCCGTTAAAAACTTTAATGTTAGTAAAATCAGCAATCACTAAAAATAAAACATCTTCGTAAGAAAACAACTAACAAAAAGCATAGTCTAAACCTACTTAATTTTATTTGATTACCTTCGGTTCAAAATCCTATGAATATGAAATCAAAATATTAAAGGCCTTAATATCCCTATGAATAATCCTTTGTTGACAACCCTCATGAAGATACAAAAGACCTGAAGCAACACCTATGGATGGAAGCATCAATTGCTAGTGATGAAAGAAGATGCACGAAGACTAAGATAAAGGAAACATGGTCGATGACTTCTTTCTTGGACCAAGACCATTGCTAAAAAGTAATATCATTCATTTACTTACACCACTTTATCGCAGATAAGAACTTGTAGCAGCAACTCTATACCTTCTCCAAATCTGAAACATTTTTAGCCATAAAAGATATAGAAAATTGTTTTTACACCTGCTGGGCATGGAAATCAACTACAACAAAGCTGTCTTAGTTAACTTTAGTAGTAATTCATGAAGGAATTTAGTGATTACAAATTACCTTCTATAACCATACATTTAATCTAAAATTATTAAAAAGAAACAAAATGTGGAACTAGCATTCAATAATTAAAGTTCAAAATATGAGCAAGAGCAAAGTGGTACAGTTTCCTATCTTAAGACCATCTGTTCCAGAACCTAAAATATGAGATTTACCTTGTTTTGAACATCAATACTGACATCTTTATAAGTTTGGAACTCCGCGAGTTGCTCGCTTTCTATCATCAAAAATGGATTTGTCTACAGTAGAAATAGTGATTTGTATGTATACAAGAGATTAAAATCAGATATGTTATCTTGTATAATTTTTGTTTATACTTACTTGATATAACATGTTCCTCCAGTTCACTAAACCCTTGTTCCACTCAAGCCTACAAATTTAACCAAAAAGAAAAAAAGAAAACAAGTAAGGCGTTTTGGATTTGACATTGTTGATGATTAATGGGTTTGGTGAAATCCAACCTGCTGAAGGAGAAATAGGGCTGATAGGTAGAAATTGCTTCAAATCTTCAGTTTTAAGTAGACAAATAAGTAAATACATGAATGTTAGTTATGTTATGGTTGTCACTCATCGTACCTTCCATCATTAGCATTCTAAGATCTGAAGTCCCATATCTAGAACGTCTCTCACCTCCGTCACTTGGTGTTAGTCTACGATAAATCAAAAATTAAAAAAAAAAAGCATATATGTATTTGTATATACACACACACACACAGAGGGGGAGAAAGGGTCCTTGTCAGACGAATGAGATGTTCAAAGAACTTATTTTGCAAGCGAATGAAACACAACAAAAGACAAATAACTGCAAATATCTGGTCGCATAGAATGACGTGCATGAATCTAATTTGTTGATTTCATAAGATAACTCTTAAATGGGAGATAGAACCCTAAATCGCTTTCTAGGTTTTGTAATAGTAGATTCCCAGGAGAGGAGGTACTGATTAATTTACATCTAGGGTGCTTATAAAATAGCCAAGACAAAATCAAAAGAAATTAAACAAATGGAAGATCAAAGTCTTTCAACAATTGCAATTGCCGACTCATGGTGTATCATCCCCAATCCTCTTATTTTCCTTCTCCATAACCACCACTTTCCCGTATCTAACAAGAATTTCCTTTAAAACATTATGAAAATTATGAACCCAAGAATCGGAAAGGGAAAATAGACCAAGGGAAGACTAGAAAACATTTCACATACCTGTTAGAGCCGATGTAAAGACATAGAATCCTGCCAATGTAGTAGACAAAGAAGAAGGGCGCAATAACGAAGAGCAGGGGGAGGTTTAGCAGTAGACGCAACCAAGGAGGTGAGCGGGAATTGAATTTTGTGATTATGAAAAAAATACTTAGGGTTTCTTTTTCCCTCGATACAATTTTGACTCTTTAAAATTTTGGAACATAAACACATGATCTAGAGTGGAAGTTTTAAAATTTTGGCTATAAAAAGATTTGTTATTTTTTTTATTCATTTACATCCTAAAATAACATTTTTAGACTAAATTACATATATGGTCCTTGTAGTTTGACCAAATTCACATAAATGTATAATTATAAAATGTATATGGAGCTTTTCTCTTTAAACTTTGTTTGGGATTAAAATATAAAACATAAAATTATAATTCAAAATTTTATACAATTCAGCTTATAGCTGGAGTGGATTGGTGAATCAACTTCATCTTCCCCTTTTGGAACTCATCGATGATCTTTGTCGGTCATGCCTCCTATATTTTGACGACACCTCCGTTTGTCAAAACTTATATTTCATTGTCTCTCTCTTTCTTGCTCAATTTTGATTTGGCAAATTTTCAGTTTTGGTGTGCGATTTAAAAAGGAAATTTATTTAGTTTTAAAGTTTGTTTTTTCATGAGTGCTGATTTTTTCATTAATCCCTAATGAGTTTCCCTCAAAAATCAGAATTGACACTAGGATATTTGAGACTAGAATTATTCCCAAATAGGTTTCCCTCAAAACCTAAATTGACGCAAAAAATAGGGACTCAATTGTAGTCTCGAATACGTTTGGTGAATCTCTACTGACACATGCATTAAAATCAGTCTTAGATGATATTTATGACTAATTCATCGATCCTAAGAGATGGTATCCAAGACTGATTAAGCAGTGTCTGATGATTTTACTCCAAATTCAAAAGTGGCTATTATATACAAGACTAAACTTTAGTCCCTAATAAGTTTCTTTCGAAATAGTATTCATGATTGATTCATTAGTCTCTGATTTACAGAATCTATCACTAAATAATCAGTCTTAGATATTAAAATTTAGTTAGTTATTTATTCAAATGTCAAATAGTATACATCTATTAGAAACTAAAATCTAGTCTTTAAAAACTTTCTCATCCAAAGGAAAATTTGGTGCAATTGTATCAATGACTAAAATCCAGTCCCTAATAAGTTGCATACACAATAAAAACTAGCACAAGTCTATCAGGGACTAAAATTCAGTCCCACATAAATTCCCCTCCAAAGTCAAAGTTTGTGCTAGACTATTCGAGACTGAAATTCAGTCCCCAATGTGTTTCCTACCAAACCTAAATCGACGCAAACATATTAGGGACTGATTTTTAGTGTCAAATAAGTTTGGTTAGTTTCTAATAACTCAGACATTAAAATCAATCCTAGATTGTATCTAAGACTGATTTCTCAGTCTCAGATACATAGTATTCAAACTGATTAATCAGTCTCGAATATTTTAGTCACAGAAGCCCCTTTTTCTTGTAGTGTTACCAAAGACTATTTTACTAATATTTTTACTGGATCATATAACTTATCAAACAAAGTAACATCTGAGTCAAATTAAGAAGTAACATAATACTTATCAAACTAGAATACTTATAATATCAAATTATCAAATAACATTTCACTAAATATTTACTAGATAATCCAAATACTCAAAGAAAATAACATATAAAATCAATTTAGGAAGCAAGTTATGTTTGCATAACATTCTATCATTTTCAAAAACAATTCTATAGCAGAAAATATGAAATCAATACAGAGTGCATTATGTCGAACACCTAGCGGGCGATCACTAAATTTACCAAACACCTAACTGACACTAGAAGTATGAAACTAATAAGATAAACCAATCAAACTAAGATATTAAATCAAATTATAATTCAAATTCCAAGAATATCTCTACAGATTTTGTGAATAACTTCATTTATGCATAATAACATAGCTTGGATTGTAGATTTATTAACATTGAAATTGTTAACAACCAAAAATGAGTCAATGGAATCATTTATTACCTGATGAGAAGAATCCTTCTTCAACTAAGAATCATGAAAAGAAGTAGCAGTTGAAGGATTGGCAGAACCATGATTCAAGATCAGAATATGAATAAAAACGTTTAAAATCAAAATGACAGTGAATCAAAATCGATTTTTAGGGTTTTATTGGGGGTTCTGGAAGATCGGTGCAAAGTAGAATCAGAATGAGAAGAAATCTCATAGAAGACACAAACTTAGCGAAATTAACTCTTTTTGAGAAACATTGAGTTGATTTGGAGAATGGCTAAAAATATGGATACGATCTAGGGTTTTGATTTGACCGACTAGGGTTTTCCAAATTAGAATATGTAGAACAAGAATTATTCAGCAGGTTAATTACACAATCTGAACTGTAAAGGCTTGAATTAATAACTGTTTTGCGAAGTGAAGTAGTGTATAATCATAATATGCTTCTGTAGAATGAGGCATTTCCCTGATTGTTTCAATGTGTTTATCATGTTGAAGTGCAAGCCATATTAAAATCAAAAACAAATTGTTGAATTTAGAAAGAGATGAAAGATTATGAATCGGTTTCTAGGGTTTTGAATGCACAAATCCGAATCGAGATAAAACTTGAGTTATTCTGTGAAGAGGGTTTTTTTTTGGAGGAAGCAAGATGTGACATGAAGAGATATTGAATGACGGTGGATTATTTTGACAGATAAAAGGTATATTGTCAAAACTACCCCTCCGTATCCTTCCTCTAATCCTGAAGTTTGATCAAATTGCAAAATTGTCACCGCCTCTATTGTTTTAATTTGAGTTAATTCTACCCATAGATTATTATAGATTAGTGGTTCAGATTCTGTCCCCATATCTCACAAAATATCATTGTCTCAAATGAACTCAACCCTATATATATAATTTAAAAAGTATATAATAAAGTCAAAAACGGTTTTTAATATTTATGTCCATAAAACCGATCAACTGTTACAATTTTTTGCGTGACAAAAATAGTTAAGTTTTAATATAAATCAGGATGAAAACTTTAAAAAAAAAAAAAAAATAATAATAATAATAATAATAATAATAATAATAATAATAATAATAAATTAAGAATTTGTTAATATCATAAGGTAATGTTATTTTAAATAGTTATGACTTTAAATCCAAAGGTCTCTTTATTTGACTTTTATATTCCAGATCCATTTTGCCAACAAAGCCCTATTTATGGCTTAGAGACTGCCCATTCCTAGCCTTCGTTTATCCTTATCTCCATTAATATTCCGGGATAATGACTTGAAAGGGTAAAGAATTTTTGACTTCTGTCACATTTAGTCACTAAACTTTTTTTCGTTATCTATTTGCCATTGAACTATTGAAACTGTTCACATTTTACCCTTATGACCGGTTGTTACTGGTCATAAGGGTAAAATGTGAACAGTTTCAATAGTTTAGTGGCAAATAGATAACGAAAAAAAGTTTAGTGACTAAATGTGAACAAAATTGAAAGTTTGTTTCCCTCTAAAAAGTTCAATGACTAAATGTGAACAAACTTCCTATTGTATTATGTTTTAGCAAAATTATTTATTTTCGTTTAATTGTAGCAACATTTGTTGATGAAGAAATTTATGAAATAAAAAAACAAAATGCAACATCCGGATTTCCAAGTATCATAATTTAAGTATTTTTCTTTTAGTTAAGAAGAGAGACTTGGCGAGTTGACGCCTCAACTCGTCGAGTAAGGTCGCGACTGATGACTCAGATTAATGAATGGACTCGACAAGTCGGTGAGGCGACTCGACGAGTCTGCGCTGTTGGCAGAAACCCTAAATCTTTGGGCCCGAGCCATATTTAAAGGCACGTATGGCCTTCAATTGCCACTACATTTCCCATAAGTGAGAACCCTAGCGAGCTTGAGTGTGTAGAGTGAGAGGAAGAGCTATCTTGAGCTTTTTGGTGTGATAGATCTGGACCCTTCTAGGTTCAGAGAGCCAAGAATATGAAGCTTTAGTAGAGTAAACCTTGGGGTTCGAAGTTAGGAAGCATTTATGGGATTTTTATGGTAGATATAGTTACTTTCATCTTACACATAGATATGAAGTATTTTATATAAATTACGTGTTATGTGCGCATATTATTTGAATACTTGTTGTCCATGCTGGATGAACGATTTTATACATGTTTTAAAAGATTTAAACGGTATATTTATTTTATATCTACAAATATGTTGCAGATGAAACATGGGTAGATGAAATAGTTGGTGTGTGATGAAATAAAATGATTAGATATATGTGATGATAGAAAGGTGATGATAATTAGGTATATAGATGATGATGAATATGTGATGTAGGATGAAAGGAGATACCATAACCTTAACCAGCAATGTGGCGATGTAGTCATCTACCAAAGTATAGATGGCGATCACGGACTATTCTAGACAACACAGTGGAAACACCAGCATGCCCATAACCTGTAGGTGATGAATTACGAGTTCAAGCGATGTTGTAACTATGTATTCATGCGATGATACTCTAACCCCTTACTATGAATTACGAGTTCAGACGATGTTGTAACTACATATTCATGGGATGTCACAAATTTCGAATGCCAAACCAATGGTCATAATTCACATCAGTGAGAATGGTTCATTTTTTTGTAAAACCAAAATCAGATTGGAAATTTTGATTTTTTATTTTGGAAAATGTCAAACCATTGGTTTTGTATTTCGGTTTTGGTTTTTTGTTTTTTTTAAATATATTTTCAGGGTTTTGTTTTGTTTTGTGTTTTGTGTGTTTTTTTTTTTTTTTCTATTTCATAGATTTCTTCATCAACAAATGTTGCTACAATTTAATAAAAATAAATAATTTGCTAAAACATAATACAAGAGGAAGTTTGTTCACATTTAGTCATTTAACTTTTTAGAGGGTAACGAACTTTCGACTTTTGTCACATTTAGTCACTAAACTTTTTTTCGTTATCTATTTGCCATTGAACTATTGAAACTGTTCACATTTTACCCTTATGACCGGCAACAGCCGGTCATAAGGGTAAAATGTGAACAGATTCAATAGTTCAATGGCAAATAGATAACGAAAAAAAGTTTAGTGACTAAATGTGACAAAAGTCGAAAGTTCGTTACCCTTTCAAGTCATTATCCCTAATATTCCCCACCAAACCCAATTATTAAAATTTTATAGTTAATTATAAGGAAATTGATATATATTCACGGATTTTTAATTAGTATTTCTACATATAAATATTGCGCTTTTTTAAAACATGAATATATTAACAAAAGATAATTATAAATTGCATATACTTATTAGTAGGGACGATAATTCTTATACACGATTGACGTTTGCATACATAATAAAGAAAAATACATATAATATTCATATATATATTTATCTGTTGCACCTTTTGATCTTCATGTTGCTTTTCATGATTTATTGAAACTATAATTAATTTTCAAGTATTAGTAAACTATTTTTTATTATAATTAGACTGAAATCAACAATAAAACGAAAACAAACCCTTACACGCGCATTACGTAGAGTTAATTATAGGTGGTACTTTCCACAAGGAATTTACGCTTTATATAACACTACCACCTAAGTTCATCTCAGTATTTCTGCAATTCTTCTACATGGCTTTCTTTGAATCCTTCGCCATTCTCATTTTCCTTTCCTTTTTTGTTCTTTACTACAAACGTCAAAACCTAAAAACTCTAATAGATAGAAATTGTCTACCTTTTGGTACAATACCCCAAGTCGTTAGAAACTTGCACCGAATCCATGATTTGCTCGCCATTTATCTTAATCGTAGTAGCGGTACTTTCATGTTGAAAGGCCCTTGGTTTGGCAACATGGATATGCTTTTTACGACAGACCCTTTAAACATCCATCACGTTTTGAGCAAGAACTTTCCTAATTATCCAAAAGGCCAAAGATTCCATGAAATATTTGATATCCTTGGAGATGGCATCTTTAACGTCGAAGGACATTTATGGGAGATCCAACGCAAAACCATCTTGTCCCACTTTATGAAACCCAACTTTCAAAGTGTTTTTGAAACGATTGTCTGGAATAAGGTGGAAACAGGGCTTTTACCGGTATTGGATGTGGTTTCTAAAAAAGGAAACGACATGGATTTGCAGGAGATATTTCAAAGGTTCACTTTTGACACTATATGCAAGTTGCTCTTGGACTATGACCCACAAAGCTTGTCTCATGATTTTCCTTGTCTTCCATGTCAGAAAGGGTTCATAGATACTGAAGAAAGTTTATTGTACAGACATTTCACTCCCACAATCTTATGGAAATTGCAACAACTACTTAATATGGGGAATGAGAAGAAGTTGAGTAAAGCATGCAATGATGTGGATCAGTTTGTATGCAAGTGCTTTGCTAGAATACAAAATGTGTCCAATAAAATGGAAAGTGATCAACACGTAAAGGGAAATTTTGGACTAGTAACATCAATGATTAGGGATTTGAAAGGCCAGGGTGGCTACACGGGAGACCCCAATAAGTTTTTAAAGGATACCATAGTGAGCCTAATTGGAGCAGGGAAAGATACAACTAGTGCAACTCTCTCATGGTTTTTCTATCTAGTTGGGAAAAATCCAATTGTAGAGGAGAAGATCAGAGAAGAAATTAGGACATTTTTGGAGGTGAAAGTAGGAGGTGATAAGAGATGGGATTCCAAAGTGATAGGAAAATTGGTTTATTTGCATGGGGCTCTATGTGAAGCATTAAGGCTTTACCCTCCTGTTCCTTTTAACCACAAGAGTGCATTACAGCCGGACATACTTCCAAGTGGCCACCAAGTTAATCAAAACACCAAGATTATTCTATATTACTATGGTATGGGAAGAATGAATAAAATATGGGGGGATGATTGCATGGAATTTAAGCCTGAAAGATGGATCTTAAAGGAAGGAGGAATCAAACATGAGCCATCACACAAGCTCCCTGCATTTTATGGAGGGCCGAGGACTTGTTTAGGTAAGGACATGAGTCTCACTCAGATAAAGATGGTGGCATCTTCGATCATTTATTATTATCACATTGAGTTGATGGAAAGCCACCCGGTGCTTCCAAGTTCTTCCATCATACTTCAGATGAAGCATGGGTTAAAGGTGAAGTTAACCAAAAGAAGCGAAGTGAATGTTTGAGCCAAACATTTTGCAGAAAGGTAATAGATGTGGAGCGAAATTTACTATATTTGTGTTTTACGTTTATCAATTTATGTGTTCTAAATACATCCTGGTGGATATGTGTAAAATAAGAACATATAGTCACTGCCCGATTAGTTGTTGACATATGTGACCTATGTTTGGAAATTTCTAGATAGAAGTTGCTTTGTATCTCGTTTATCGGTTAGTAAAATAATAATCTTTCGGTTCCCGTTCTCCCTGGCTTATTCTCCTTTTAATATGTTACTCTACTTTATGGAAAAATCCGTATATTACAAAAACAAATCTAAGATTCATTACAAGTTGAAAAAACCCGACAACCTAAAGCTACATATCACAAAACAGCACATATTTGACTCGGTTTCTAGTTCAACGATATCTCGCACATATTTGACTCGGTTTCTAGTTCAACGATATCTCAGTTGTTGTCATTCGTCTATAAAGTCGAGGGTTCAAGCTTCATCTACGATATAAATGTTAACTTAGCTGGTAGATTAGATTAGCTGGTATAAAAAAATACTTGGTTTCTTATCACATATATCAATATATTAATTTCTATTCTACTCCAATTAGAATAAAGCTATCATGGAAAGATTAGATGACAACCATGTTATAGATTCGGATATTACTATGCATACATTGAATGGATTAGAGATTGAGAGGGGGAGATTCCTTAGATTTTTCTTAAATTCCCTTCATGCTTCTTGGTTAAGCAATTGATCCTGATCAATGGTCCGGCCTGCTTTGACCCATCTTTTTTATGTGTCATTTCGCTTTCAAAATGTAGACACGTTCACACCAATCTCATTTGAAACAGTAAGAGGAACATATCCAACGCTTATAGAATAGTGTGGTTGAAATTAAATAGGCCATTCATGCCTTGGATGGGAATCATATTAGGTTAAGAAGAAATGATAAACAAAAAATAAAAAAGATCTAAGGAATACGTGAAAAAAAAAAAAAAAAAAAAAAAAAAAAAAAAAAAAAAAAAAAAAAAACGAAAATCAAAATCAAAACACACAAAACATAGGGATATAAGTGGTTCATACTATCTTGTGATAGGCTACATCCACTATTGAACCAAAGAGATATATTTTATTCCACACATGTTTTTCTGCTACCATGTTACAGATACGACCATTCATAAGTATATAAATGACAAGATTTGACTTAAACATCTAAAAGGTCAAGCCCGATTGAAAAACTCAAAAAAACCATAGAAAAAAAAAAATTGGTCCACTCAAAAAAATTCAGTCTTTCAAATTTCAAGTCTGATGATAAGTCTATATATTCAACAATCTCCCACTTGGAGGCTTCATCATCATTTAGTTGTCAGCCAAGTATGTGACCTTTAAAACTCATCTCACTCTAGTCCCTGCTTCCTCTTCAAGTTCATGGAAGCCTACTTGAAGCCATGCACGGCTTCAACTTTTCAGTTGGTACTACCTTAATAAAGATACCAGCTGGATTCCTTCGTACCAAGAATTATCTCTAGATTTAGTGTACCATCAGTTATCAGTTCTCGTATAAATGATGTCGCATCTTCATGTGTTCCGTTTGGCTATGAAACATCGGATTTTTTGTGAGATGTACTGCACTTTGATTGTCACATTGGAGTACACAGTCTTCTTTTTTTATTTTCAGTTCTGACAGAAAATTCTTCAACCATATCACCTATTTGCTTGCTTATGTAGTTGAAACAACACTTTCTGAAGTTTGGACATCCAACTTACTAATGTACCTCCGATAGTGAAAACATACCCAATAGTGATTTTTCCCCAAACCTCCACATCCCCCTAAATCAGCATCAGCGAATCCTTCTAAAATCACTTAATTTTGTTGAAACAGAGAGCGACTTTAGAAGTTCCTTTCAAGTAACGCATGTAACGTCTGGTTTCTGGTATGAATCTATTTCTAATTATTTGTATTTTTGTTGGAGAGCTCATCGAGTTTGAAGCCTCAACTTGACGTGTTGAAGTTGTTTTGGCCACAAACTTTAATGAGTCAACTCAATGAGTTTAGGTGCCTCAACTCGGAGAGTTAGCAGCTAGGAAGGAAACCCTAATTTTAGGGTTTTGCACCTTACTAAAACACCTTAAGTCCTGAGTGTTGGCCTTATTCCCAGCCTTCATAGCTCCTAACCCTAATCTCGAAACCCTAGAGCCTCCTTGAGTGTTGTGAGCTCATTGTGGGTATGTTTTGGTGTGTTTGAAGCTCATTGAAGGAAGAGAAGCTTGGTGCAAGGTGGTGGTTCAAGTAGGAAATTTCAGATCTTGATTCTCTAATCCATTTTCAGCACATCTCGGGTATAAAAGTTCTAACCTTGCTTAGTATTTTCTTAGATCTATTCTTAGGTTAGATTGTATGCTTTTAGCCATGGATGGGTGGTTATTGCGGGAAGTAGAAGTCCCAAGTGTTTATCGTTTCAGATCTATGATCTTCATGATCTCTTTTGGCATAAAGGTGCCAACTTTATGGTCTTAAAGGCTTCATGCATTCATTAAGTCCTTCTTTTGGCCTCTTTTGAGCATTTGAGCCTATCCTAGTCATGTATGAGTGTAAAGTTGGAAACTTTACGTAGTCATTCAGCTTTTAGGGCCAGATCTGCAGTTTGGTGATTAAGTTCTTAATGATTATTCCCTCGCATTTTAAGCCTAGGGTTTGGGTTTTGAACCCATTTTGGTGGTTCTTAGGGGTTAACTTGGAAACTTTACCCTTCTTGAGGCCATTTCAGTTAAGAACTGAGTTATGAAGCTCCTAGTTTTGATAAGGTTGGCTTAATGAATTAAGATGTTGGGTTTATGGCGAACTCGGCAAGTTTATGGATGAACTCGACGAGTTGGATCAGTTCCTTCCCTACTTTGCAGACTAATGGATAAACTCGGTGAGTTGGCTCAAATCGGATCGTTGACTTTGACTTTGACTTTAGTCTTTGACTAAGTTTGATCTATAAGGGGCTTTTGGGCATTTTTTGTTGTACTTAAGGAAATATTTTATGTTTAAGGGTTAAGTAGAGTCAATATTCAGAGTCGGGATCCGTTCAGCTACCTTTCTGCATTCGAGGTGAGTTTCCTCACCAGGTTCAGCGGGTCTAAGGCACCAAGGCCGACGCTCATTTGGTTATATTATTATACTTGTTGTCTGTATGATACTTGTATGTGCTTGTATATGTATGTCTATTGTGCGGGGCCCGTTATATAAGTGTGGGCGAGGCTCGTATCTCATTCCTATCCAAGTGTGGGCGGGGCCCGTATCTCACTATCCTCTAAGTGTAGGTGGGGCCCGTATCTCATTGGGTGGGCTGCGTTATCCAAGTGTGGCGGTGCCCGTATCTCACTATTATCTAAGTGTAGATGGGGCCCATATCTCATTATTGCATGATATGTATGGTATGTGGTATTTTAGGGAACTCACTAAGCTTTATGTTTATCGTTTTCAGTTTATGTTTTAGGTGCTTCTGGTTTCAAGGAAGATCTCTGGATGACTGCATCGCACACACCATTGAGATTCCGCTATGATGTTTTACTTTGATTTATGGCAAATTGATACATTGGTTTTCTTCAAATGTTTGGATGTTGTGGGAAAATACAATTTTATCTATTATTAAATTGAAATTTTTAGGACCATATTTTTAGATGTTTCAACACATCAAGCACTTGACCCCTTTCCAATGCTCTTTACCCAAATTTTACATAAATTTGCTCAAAACTCCCACTGCATGTGCAATGTCCGGTCTGGTATGTGACATCCTCAATTTCACCACCAGAAAAGACTAATTTGTTATGTTTATCTAAAAATTAGAGTATCCTTTTTGAGGATTAGCATTGCGAAATTTGTTCCCATAAAACATGATAATGATATTATAAAATCATTTCCGAATAAATGTATTTTATTTATATTAAAACATTAGGATGTCATTGTCAATACAGAAACATGTAACAGCCCAAAAATTACAAATAAAATTTTTCATTTTTAAATAAGCAATTTCATTCATAATTGTTTAAAAGAAATCCATTACATCAAGTCATAACAAAAGATCATAGCATCCATAATAATTAATGCGGAAAATACTGGAGAGTGAATGTTGTGCCATCAAGTCGGTCCCTTCCCCATAGCACCAAAAGTACCTAAAACACCCAAATAAATTGTAAGCAAAAGCTTAGTGAGTTTTCCAAATAACTAATACCAAGCATACAAATGGGCCCAACCCTAGGTTTCGTACCAATCCAACACAAATATGGGCTCCCACCCTGGGGCCTCGCCCTAGGGTTTATTTCAACCCAACAATTCATAGTGGGCCCTGCCCTGGGGTATATTTCAACCCGACATATCATATTAGGCCCCCGCCCCAGGGTGTATTTCAACCTGATCATAACATACAACACACAACAATTAATATATTACATAACAAATAATGGGTCGGCCTTGGTGCCTTCGACCATAATATTGGGAAGAAACTCACATCGGTCTGTTGAAAGTAAAATCTGCTCGGCTACCAATCCAAAATCTTACACTGTAAAGATATACAATTACCCTAATTAGGATTATCACACAAACTAGACTAAGGGCCCAAAATCCTAAGGCCAAACTCCTCCACTAAGGCCTAAAAGTCTTTCTTCCTAAGTGGGCCTACATCCAAGGTCCAAACAATAATGGGCCATAAGGCCCAATAGGCCCAACCTTGACACTCATGGCCTAAAAAATAAATTCTAAGGCCTAATTACTCTAATTGATCCAGTCCCAAGGCTAAGTAGGGCCCAAATGGCTCAAAAGCCCATCGAAATCCCAACACCCACTATAGTCATACGCCAACTTAAAACCTTAGTATGCTTAGCGTACAAGGGTTTGCGGTGGTACGCGTAGCGGACAAGATAATATGCCTAGCGTACAAGCATCTTATGCACCAATAGCAATTAAGTGCTTAATACGTGGAAACTCAATGTCCAAAACCATATCTTAGTCGATTAAGAGGTCCTAGG